TACAAATTCTTGGAATGGTTGAGACTGCTGAAAAACGCCATTCACCCTCATACGCACGTGCTGATCTGGCTATTTTCGAGTTTGACTTTGCTAGTACTTCAGTTCCTAATCGGAAATTACATCCCGGAGGTAATATATAGTTCGGGCCAATTAACCATCCTTCTTCAATTGGTGCTAATGCTATGTCAATAAACATTCCCTTCTTTAAGTTGTCCCAATCAACTTCTACACACTGACGTTTATAAAGGACCGAAGTCCGCTCCATTCCAAAAGCAATAACTCGAATTGAACCCGTCTTTCTATCTTTTCCCCTTCTCTTAGTTTCTACAACAAACCCTGTTTTCAATCTAAACTCCTGTATTGCAACCATTTCTATTTCAGTCGCCGTAGCTTGCCAATTAATATTGCCTTGATAGAACCATGTATTTTCATTCAAGGTTTGGAATTTGTCAGTACGACGCTGGAATTTAGTAATATAAATGTCATCTCCGACACACGCATCTTTCGCGCCTTCATTGTTCATTTCGACTAGAGCACTCCACGGAATTTCCATGAATAGAGGCCACCCATCTTCTTTGTTCGGGGATGTAGACACTGCAATAAGTCTGGCTTCTTGAAGTTGGGATATAACATAATGTTTTCCTTTACTTTTTACTTCTGTAAACTTATCTTTATTTTGAGCCGAGACTCCACTAAGCCCACTAGTTCCGACGGCTTGTGATTCATTTTCTTCTCTCCACGAATTACATGCTTCCTCCCATTTATCCAGAGCTTCTTTCAGTATTTCTTCATCTTCCGTATCTTCATTTTCGGCCTCCAGTACAAAATTCTCCAAACTATCCGTAATTCTCTGTGGATCAATGACATTCACAACTTCCAAAAGTTTTTCTTCACTTGACATTTTATTTTGAACCGAAGTTACTTTGTTATCTGAAATGATAAGATTTTTTAAAGAGATTTCTCTCTCCTTTTCACTTTTTGAATGGACCGAAGTCCCAACGTTTTTCTCGCTCTCACACAAATTATTTTGGACCGAAGTCCCTAATGAAGCTGTTGACGAGGATCCAATTCCTTGCATTGCTGCTTCAAATACTTTAGTTTTAGTTGCTTTTATTTTAAGATTTTTAGACATTATCTTTTCTAAAATAAAAAAAATTTTATTTTAATTAAATTAATTTTTTTTGTGAATTAAAATTAAAATCGCGTAAAAAAAAATTAAATGTGTGAGAGTAAAATGATAAAGTTTGGGAGAAATGATTGTGAAAGAGATTAAAAATAATTAGAATTATATTTAAGAGAGTGAGTTTATTCTATTGAGAGCCTTCTGGCTTTGGGATTCCTACGGAGGTTGTACCTTTTACTATTGGGTTCCCTACTATTATTTTCTTCTGAACAATTCTCATCCATTGGAGTGGTTTTGATTGATTCCTGGCTGTTTGCGCCATTAATTGCTTTTTCCTCTTCCTGGCTTAGTTCTGGGACTGTTACTATCGGTGATAAGTCTTCAAAGCACTTCTTTAACTGGTTTATGTGAACAACCTTAGGTATCGCACTTGGAGCATTACAACTAACTATGGTTACGTAAATTCCATCTATTTTTACAACCCTAAACACACCTTTCCAGGGCATGTGAAATTTTTTCGAGGTACCTATTTTGCCACAATAATTCCTCAATAATACTCTGTCACCAACAGTTACTGTTGGGTTTCTTGTCAACTTATCGTACTGGGCTTTTGACTTTAATTGGGCTTCCTTATTTGCTTCGTCCGCGGCTTCCCATGCTTTTCTCAACGAGACTACTAGTTTTTGTTTGAATTCAGATAAATCAGTTAAGGCTATTGGGTCGTGAACTCTGGGATCGAGAATTTGGTCTACACAGAAAATTGGATCTCTACCGAACATTAAAAAGAAGGGTGTTTCTCCTGTTGAAGCGTGAATTGATGTGTTATAGCAAAAGCTGGCTATGTCAACAAATTCATCAAAGTCAGGTTGTTCCTTATTTATATACTTGGCAAGAATGTTATGGAATGTTCTAAAAGAGCGTTCAGTGACTGCATTGCCTTGGGACCAGTGTGGGATTGCATAACTCTTATTTATATACAACATGGAGCAGAAATTTCTGAAAAATTCGCTAGTGAATGCCGTGGCATTATCTGTAATCAGTTCAATACATCCGCCAAATCTTAGATAGCAATTTGTGAGGAAGGCTTTTGCTAGCGTAAGTGCTTTTGCATCGGGGACAGGCACTGAGATCACATATTTTGTGAACCAACAAATAATGTTCATTATATATTTGTTTCCATTTTGTGTCATCGGAAAGGGACCCGCTAAGTCAATTCCTACTTTAGCAAAGAGTGTATTTGGATGAGCCATCTGCATTTCAGCTCTGTAAGGAGGATTTGGAGAGTGCCGAAGCTGACAAGTTATACAATTGCGCGTCCAAGTGAGTATATCTGCATGCATCCTGTGCCAAAAATATTTTCTGCATTTCTTTAGTGTCTTTTTCATACTCATGTGTCCTCCGCCCAGGTGCGAGGAGTGAAATGATTCAAAGATTAATGCTCTAAGGGAGACTGGTACAAATATTCTGGGATACAAGTTCGGTAATTTATGGCAAAGTATGTCACCCATCATTTGAAGATTTTCTGCTGATACTACAAATTTTTCTATTTCATTCTGCGGAATTTCTTCTGGAATTTCTCCTGTCTTTAAAAATTTAATAAGGGCCGAAGCCTCAGGGTCTTCACTTTGTTCATGCCTAATATCAATTGTATAATTTTGTCCATCCTCTTTTCTTAATGTAAAGGCTGCTATAGACTCATCAATGAGTAATTGCGACTTAGTTCTTAAGGCTAAACATACAGGAAACTCGGCAATGTCTTCAAGCTCTTCGAGATTTTCTACTTCTTTGGGGTCATTTGTCTTAAATACCCTTGAGAGTGCATCTGCTAAGAGGTTTTCTTTTCCAGAAACATGTACAATTTTTATATTATAATTCTGTAGTTCAATGAGCCAGCGTGCTAGATTTGGGTGGGCCTGCGCCTTTTCAAGAAGGTATGCCAATGGCTTATGGTCAGTGTGAAGCTCGACCTCTGCCATATAAATAAAAGGTTTGAATTGCCTAAGTGCATAGATTATCGCACCTAGCTCTATTTGTACTGGTGGCCACTTCCTTTCTGCAGTGGTTAATGTTCTACTACAATATGCTATGGCTTGAAACAGATTATTTTCATTCTTTTGCATTAGTGCCCCGCCTTGACCTACTAGAGATGCATCAGTGAAAATGTGAAACGGCTTACTATAATCTGGAAAGGCAAGGACTGGTTCATTCGTCAATATTTCTTTTATTTTATCGAACGCTTTTTGTTGTTCATCTTCCCACTTAAAGCAATTTTCTTTGCGAGTTAGTCTGGTTAACGGTTCTGCTATCATTGAAAAATTTTGAATATGCTTTCTGAAAAATGATGCCATTCCTACTACTCGCCTGACTTCTTTAACGCTCGTGGGTGCTGCTAAGTTCTTAATTATTTCCACTTTGCTTAGGCTTGGTGTGTAGCCTGAGGAATTAATTATATGCCCTAAGAAGTGCATTTTTGTTGATCCCAATACACATTTCTTGGGACTGACTTTTAATGAAAATTTTCTTAATCGCTCAAATACTTGTTTTAAGGCATCGAGATGCACGTCAAAGTCATTTGGTTTTGTAAATACAAGAAAGTCATCTACATAAGTTAACACACAATCTTCTAATCCACTGATTACATGCGCCATTACTCTAGCGAACGCACTAGTTGCATTTCTTAAACCGAAAGGCATATGGGTCATTTGGTACACTTCGTCTTCTGTAATTACACCACATTTCCTAGAAGCTCTTTCAGTTAATCTTATCTGAAGATATCCGCTTGAGAGATCAAGAGATGAATAAAAGTGACAGCCTCCTACTTTTTCCATAATTGTTTCCAACCTAGGTAGGGGAAAATGGTCCGGTACTGTAACTTCATTTAATTTTCTAAAGTCTATACAAGGCCTAAGCCCGCCGTCCTTTTTCTGCACTAACACTATGTTTGAAACCCACGGAGTGTCAGATTTTACCATCACTCCTGATTTTAGAAGCTTGTTAATATTTTCTTGCAATTCGTTCTGAAATTTAAATGGGACCCTATGGGGTTTGGAAGCAATAGGAGTTTCAGTCGTGGTTAAAATATCATGTTCTCCTACTATACAAGAGCCTAAATCATACTGACATTTGCTAAAGACATCTGAGAATTCTTCACATAATTTTTGGAGTTTAATTAAGTCATTTCCTTGGACTGAGCTTTTGGAGAAATCTATTTTGAATGTTTTATCACTTTCCAAGTTATTTACTTTATGATGATCTATTTCATTTTTATCTTGATATTGGGTTAGCCAAGGACCTTCACTGCTTTCTATACACTCATCTGCAAATGCTAAATGCATTCCATTAAAAATATGTTTAGGGGCATTTGTGGGATTGGCCAGCAAAACACATACAGATTAGTGTTCGGCAAATGACCTTTTCCGGTATTCGGTATCGGTATACCGAAAAAAATACCGATACCGAAAAATACCGTTTTTACAAAAATCGACCGGTACGGTATCGGTATCGGTATACCGGAAAAAAATACCGCGGTATACCGTACCGTGCCGAACACTAATACAGATCTGTCGTTTGGCTCAACAACTGTTGGGATTAATGCAATATCTTCACCTACTAGACGCTTTTCTAAAGCATGAATTAATGCATTGTCTATTTTATTCATAGACATTAATTTTCCTTTAACAATTTTGTGGGACCCTGGCAGAATAGTTGTGGCTTCTATCGCATAAATTTTCGCATTTTCTATTAGAGGTTGATTATTTATGCCGAGGCATACTGCGGAATTTCCAAACCACGCCTTGTCGTTCTTAAAGTCAAAAGTGACAGGTGGTAGTTTACCCAAAAGATCACATCCAATTATCATTTGATAATTTCTTTTGTTGTTTAATTGTTTATCTTCTACTAAATTAACATCGACTGTATGCTTTAGCCCAGCTACTTCTAAACAACATTTCATTTGTGCCTTGACTAAAATTTCATGACCCGAGGCTGAAGTGATTGCTAAACAAGTAGGGGTAAGTCCTATATTTAATTCTCTTGCAAGCGAGATAGGAGCTATGGATATACTTGCACCAGTGTCGATAAGACAATTCACAGGTTTACTATTGACTGATACCCTAGTAATTGCTGTATTGGGAGAGGTAGCGTTAATATTTAATTTATTTTTGGCCGAGGCCGCATTTTCACTTGAGGTGGATAGAACATCTATTTCTATTGGAGGTATTTGTGATACTTGAGGAATCCAGTTGCTTTGCTTACGTACACTCCTTTTCCTTTGTTTTATCATGGACATTCTTTTTAGTGGTACCGATTTTACTTTCTTAGGTGTCCTTACTACACTTTCTTGCCTTGTCATTCTCCCTTTAAATGGCTGTGCTATTTCTATTAAACTACCTATATAGCTTTTTGACACAATTAAGGCCAATCTTATCACTAAATCAATTATTAAGACTACAACTAGACATGTTATGACAATTTTCCAAATTCCCATATAATCTCCAAAAACTTCTTTTGTAATTTTATCCCCCGCTTCTTTCCACTGGTCCGATAATGTTTTAGTAATGACTGTGTCTTTTTCACTAAGTGTGTAAGTTAATTCGCTTACTTTAGCCATATTTGTCATAAATGTGTGAGTATTTATGTCAGTTAAATTAACAAGTACTAGTTCATGAAAGGAATGGGATTTGAGATTTGGAACCTGAAAATATCTTACTTCATTTTTCCTTATGCCTCTGGGCTTTACAGTTTCTATTTCTCCAGTCTGCTGGTTTATTTCTAAAGCATTATTATTCACTTCAACTATTATTTTTCTAAACTGGGAACAAGGGGCTTTCCTAGCAGTTGGTTGAATAATCATTGTATTTGGGTCAAGAAATGCCATAATATCCTTTGAACCTGTTTTGACCTGAATCGGGACTAAATCAAAACATTCATCCATTTTCGTGTTAACAAAACTAAACTCATTTTCTTTTAATTTTATACAAGGCCAGACACTAAGTAAGGAGACCCCTTCTCGTTTTGCTACTAAATATTCATTATTGAAGACCATTCTTGCTAGGCCTGTAGGGTTTGATAGGTACGCTGCTACTGCTGGTTTCTTTACTGTTTCCATATGATCGCAGACTGCTTTTAAAGAGTGAGCAAACGCAAAAGTCATAGTTTCTGCCCATTCTTTGTCAAGAAATGTAAGTCTAGCTGCTAGTTCAGGTGCTGTTGCTAAGCCGAGGCTTTCTACATTTTTGCTACGCTTTGCGCGTTCAAGATGCGTTTCGGTAGCGAAACCTTGCTCAGAAATTTCTAAATCTTTGCCACAATCTTGTCTTTTTGCTATGGGCTTTCCAAAATGTAAGGCTATTTGGGCGTCGTCAGATAACCAGGTGTTGTCTAAAAATTTCCCTGTCCAACGACCTATTGGGACATAGCGGCAAAAACTCTTTTCATTTATGGTCCATTCAAGAAACGTTTTGTCTTCCAATAAACAATGACCTTTATCATAAGAACAATTATGGGTGCCCCCTAAGGGTGTCCTTATAGTCTTTTCGCCCCAGTGAGAGTACACTTGCGTTTCAAATAAAATACAATTTTCAGATTGGACCTGAGTCCACGTAAACGATCCTACAAACCACATTTTAGGACTGATATCAATTTTATTTCCAGTCGTAAAGACTTCATTTTCTTCCTTGAGTGACCCTAAACTACACTTCTTTTCATTAATCATCTTATTACACTCTTCTCTTGACACCTCTAACATTTCTGAAGATACTGGCTCAGTTATTGGGACATTAGTAATAGAAGTATATTTTTTAACTATCTTGCGTATTTTTCTACAAGCCCACGCGTCTGTCGCATATTCTAAGTCATTAAGCATATAAACAGTTCTTGTTTGCGAAATAGGCGCGTGCGAAATGTTTGGTGTGAGCTTGGGACATTCAGATAGTTCAGGTAGGGACCATAAAATACCTTGTTTCTCCATTTGGCAAATCATTGGCCATTGTGGTTTCGGTAAATTTTCAAACCCTAAAGCAGGAGAGAACATTGCTACAAGCATTAGAATTGTAAGTGGTAATAATTTTGGACCTAAGCTCCTTCTGCCTTCCCAAGACGAGATTGCACTTTGTTTTGACTCTTTTTCATTTCTAGGACTTTCTTTAACCTTTTTAGATTTTTGGACTACCTCTAGATTTTGAACTGAAGGAATATTTGAATTTTCACCCACCTTCATCTTTCTGATCGCATTTAAAATTTCTGATAGCATAGAATCATTTTGAATTTGACCTGACCTGCTTTGAGATTGACTTGTTCCTTGACCTTCATACTGTCTGAAGTTAAATCGTTCCAGTCTCTCGCGACAGTTGCTGGCAAAGTGGCCTACGCGGGAGCAATAATTGCACACAGGTCTGTTGTTCCATCGCCGATCATTAGAGGGATTGCGGTTCCAGTTGTTCATTCTTTGATTTGGCCTAGACCAGCTTCGTTGATTGATTTGTCGATTCTGAAAGTTCCGATCATTAGTTCTATCTTGGTTAAATCTCCAACCTTCGCGAGGTTGCACTCTATTCGAATTAATTGGATTTAAAGTTTTGAAACGTCCCGAAGGACCCTGAGAACCTACGTACTGATTCACTTCCTGTATTTCGTTGACACTTGCTGTTGGGAATAACGGGTTACTCCTGCCTGGGATCATAATTTCCACTTCCCTAGCATCCATACAAAGTTGTTCAAATCCACGGTTGTTCTGAGTAAAGTTGAGGAGTTTCATGCAAAAAGCAATGTTAGGGAGAAGCCTTTCCAGTAAAAGATCACATAGATAACGTTCACGATGAGTACCAGCCATGTCTACTGCTGTTGCCAACGCTAGAGGTCTGAATCTTGTCAAAAATTCCTTGACTGTTTCATTTTCCTGCTGTTTACAAATTAATAGTGCCTGTCGTGAGAGTGACCTACGCTGAGGAGAGTCGAGCTCTTCTCTTATACTTTTTAATGCCTGTTCACAAGTGGTTCGCTTTGCGGGACTTAATTCCTCAAATATTTGTTTGGGTGTATCGTCCAAAAATATAGAGAGGCGGTTGAGCTTTTCTTCTTCAGAAAGCCTTGCCCCATACACTTTGATTCTTTCCATGAATTTCTTACTCCACTTATCTAGTGCTACTATGTTATCATCTGAAAATACCTCTAGGGAAGGGATACCCTCGTTACTTAACATATTTAGTGTATGGTCATCCCCTTGTTCATCATCATCGATATGAAGATTATTATTAGCCGAAGCTTCTATAGCTGAGGAAAAGCTAATTTGAGGCTGTTCAAAAATTTTCTCATTTAAATTAACTTTGGGAGTTGACTTATTTTTGGGAGAGCACCTTATAGGCGAAAGTGATTTCGAGTGTGTACGTTCAGTGCCAACCCCCTTTAGTCGAGTAACACAATCCTCTATCTGAGACCCCAGTGTTGCAAAACCTACATTAACTTCATCTGCTAGATTGGTTAAATTATTAGCATTAAGGTTTATTTTCCGGTTTATAGCTCTTAATGAACGATTAATACCTTCCTCAAGTCTGACTGTGTCCCCATGGACTTTTTCTAAGTCAGTATAACGTGCCTGATTTGTACCCACCTTTCCCACTAAAAGCATTTTGTCAACTACAGCAATAGTCATTTCTTCATTTCCAACATTAATTTGTGCCGAGGCACTCGATGTCGTGACGTCCTTAGTGGACAGTCCACTGTTTGAACACATATAATTAAGAAGCTTTAATTTATTTAATTTCTAAAAAAATAGGATTAAAAAAAAATTTCAATAAATGAATGGGAGATATGAATGACTAGGCTAACACTTAATGAAATTTATTAATGGACGTTTTTGTTTATCATCAGTTCCTTTCACCTGAATTACACAAAACACTTTTAATTTTCATTAAAGCTTTGATTAACAATGATTGCTTTTAAATTTGCTAGTTTCTCACCTTCTTGATTTCTAATCTTTTGCAAGCTTTTTCCCTTTCTTTAAACTACTTTTCCCTTCCTTTAGGCTTCTTGAGAAACTTTTATTTTAAATTAATAATTTTCCTTTATATTACACTAATAAAAGCTTTCTTTACACCTCTGCCTTTTTTTTAATCAAAAAAAACTTCCTCCAATGTAGACTTTACCCTTTCTTTAAACAATCACAAAGTTTTCTTTAAGGTAAACTTTGCCCCTTCACTGGCAATCTTAAACCACTTTGGAAATTCTACTTCGTAATTTTTTTACAGTACTCTTCATCTCAGACTCTGAAGGCTCTCAAAATAAACTGATACGGATAAATAATTAACAAGAGGAAATAAATAGTTGATACCATTAAGTAAATTTTGGAAAACAATAAAAATAGTAAAGGCACATTATTAGGGAAAATATATTGGGATAAGTAAAAAAAAAATTTGAATTTAGAATTAAAAGTATAAAGTGAAGCGAATCATAAGAAGCGAAAATAAAATTAAGAAAAACGAAACATATTACGCGAAAATCCACGAAAGGTGAAACGCGAAACTGGCACACCCCAGGTATATATTAAATTATAATTTGGAGAATACAGTTCGACAAATTGAATATTTTTACCCTGTTTGGCATTTTTAAAAGGGACGTTTTGGACTCAGACCTAATGGGATTTTTCTGAACAGTGACATTTTGGGGTTGATACATTTTCAAGAAAAGGACTTCAAAGCGCCACACATTTAAATACATACAATTGGAATGTAACTATAAAAGGACATACATTGAAAAACGCGAGGAATAAGGGAATATAGAAAACATTTTGCGCCTTTAAAGTCTAAAAATATAGCATAAATCTAAATAGATTTTTTTTTTAACATGGGAGTAAAATTTTGTAATTAATGTCTTGGACCATGGTCCCTGCTACTACATAAATAATAAAAAAAAATGCAATTGCTAACCAATCTGACACCAGAGGTTTTTTTTTGAAAGGCAATTGGCTAATGAGACTTCATTAAACAAGAAAGTGTAATTAATTTTAGTTCCGTAAAGTTCCAACTAGTCTTGATCAAAACTGCACCGATTCTACTTTGTGTACCCTAAAAATTTTAGTTTGTGCTGCTCTGTTCTAATAATAGAAATCGAATATTCTAGAGCTGAATGTTTTGATCATTTTATACATTTTTCTCTTTTTCCCCCTTTTTTTTAAATCTTCCCAAAAGAATTACACTTTCTTGGATAGGTTACACTTTCTAGAAAAATAGAGAAATTCACGTGAATGAAAAAAAATGGTTAGAAAAGAAAACTTGGTTTGACTGAAAATCATGTGTTCGGGAGGAAAATGAATAAAAATATCCAATTGGAAAATTTTCGGTCTTGGATACCTCTATCAGAGACTGTCTAACCGGGAAATACATATGAGTACTTTAACAAAAGTTCTTTTATAGGACCTTGGTCCCGGATTTTGTGGAAAGTGTGCATTTAATTAGTACAAGTGTTAACCACTCGAAGAAAGGGTGTATAAATAATTCAAAATCTCATATGTTACGGTATATTTTTGTCTGGGTGGGTCTTCTTGGCGCACGACTCTAATAGGAACATAGACGACACTAAATTCATCGCAATTTTCTCCAGAGGAATTTTTGACTTGTTATAATACGAGATTTTATTTTACTATTTGAGTTTTTTTTTTGCTTGCGCCCAACTGTTCATAGATACGCCAGAGATACTACCCCACACAAAAGGAAAGGAGAAGAGGAAAATTCTTTTAGCACTTGGAAAACCCAAAAAGATATGTCTAATTTATACACCCATTTTTCTTTTAAAATTAAACTTATAGTGCCATATTCTTCCGCCTCATCCACATCTTCCACAATTCCACCATGAGTTTGATCATAAAACTAAATTTCATTTGTCGTTCCGTTGTATATATTGCAGAATTCAAGATAATTATTTAAAAAAAATTGGAGAGTGGAAATATGAGTGACAATTTGATAAAACAAGAGAAAAATATATATTTTTTTTAGTGTAAATGTGTGAGATTTAAACATAAAACTATATGAATTTATGATTGTCTAAATAGGTTTTTTTTGAGTAAAATTATGTGCTTATTGTCTTGGACCACGGTCCCTATTTTCGGAGATTGAATAACTTAATGAATTGTTTGGCACTATTTGACGAGGGAAATAAAAGGTAAAAAGGGAAAGAAAAAGGAAAACAAATATTTGGAAATTTTTGACTAACTAGAAGTTATGTGATATTTTTACTTTAAACTTTTTGATTTAATAAAAAAAGAAAAAATTTTTTTTTTGATTTAATGAAGAAAAAGGAGAAAAACAAATTTAATATACAAATACCAAGCAAAGTTGATTAATTAAAGAGAATATAAAATCTAAGGTTTTTTTTAAAAATTTTAATTACATTTAAGAGTGACGGAAAATGTACAGAAATACACTAATCGAAGAATTCATTCGCTTAAGATCAGGGTTACGATTCTTACTCCTTTTTTTTCTAAGTATGTACTTTTAAATCAGCATTTTGCTAAAAATTGAATTTAACCTTAAAATTCTCAAAATTTTTGCCTGCGGCAAAGAAAATGGTTTAATTTGAAGTGTACTTTTTATTTGGAAATTTAGTTCCCATGTGCTTTTAAGTCGAGTTTATGTGCTTTTGATTGGAAATTTGTCGATCGGAACCCTGATATAGACATTTACTAGTAGAGCAAAAGGAAATAAGACATTAAATTTGAATGTACAAAAAAAATTAATATGTGCCTAAGCACTCAATTATAAAAATAACATAACATAATTTTTCACAAGCTGACTTTATAGAGGATAAAATAAATGTAAAGTAAAATTTTCTAAGGAGATGAAACCGTTGGAAGATAACCTTTGGTGTCTTTAGAAATGTTTCCTTTTTTAGATATTACATTTTTTGCGGGAAAGGAGAAAAATTATTTTTTTAGTTTTTTTTTGAAATGGAACAAAGGAAATTAATCATCCCCCTTTTTGGGCAGTTTTCCGAAAAGAAGGGCCAGACGGTTTTTCATTTTGGTATTGAAAAAAAAAATTTTTTTTTAGCTCTTTCTTATGCATATATGTACATACAATGAGTAATTATTCTTTTTTTTAGCCGTTAAAAAAAAATAAAACATTTTTCCCAAGAGAAGGTTAAATGTGTACAAAAATGGAAAATGTGAAGTGAAACGAAATTCACGTGAATAATTTTTAGTCGTTGATATTTCCCCTTTTTTTGAATTTGTTTCTAAATATAAGTTTTTTTCGATTGGGTTTTTCGATTCGGTTCGTTTTCGAGTTTTTCGGGCTGGAAAACTCTGATTCCTTACTAACTTCTAGCTACTCCCTAATAAGAACTTAACGTAATTTTATTTATAAAAGAGAAAGGTTTAAACTTAGCATACGGCCGAGGCCTCCTCAATACTTGTCAGTCATTTTGCGGTCGTCTCATCCTCTATTCCATATCCCTCTTCTTCCTTCTCAGGACTCGAGCCGGGCCCAGCTCTTGTCCTTTGATGGAAGAAGGAGTTGTTGTTGTGCCGAGGCTCACTCCACTGCTGCCAGGGATGGTCTGCCTTCTCCGAAGATCAGGCGAACCATCCGGTGCTACCAGAAGAAGTTTGCTGAATCCATACCCAGTGTAGAGCCCAGGATAATAGAATATGAGGGAATACTAATTGATTATTGTTGTTAGTAGTCCGGCCGGACAATATTCACCGCTCACTCCTTAAGAGCGATTAAACGGGCGACGACTAATTCCTCCGATCGGGCAATAAATATATTAATTCACTTTTATTATTAACTGACTAACAAGCTGACTGATTGAATGACTGATCGCTTCCTTCTCTTATTCCTAGGATTATATTGGTTATGGATAGGCGGGGTCGCTGGGAAAGTTTTATTTAATATTTCACAATTCTATTTCCGCCTTACAATAATAAAGAAAAGCAGCGAGAAAGGAACCGAAAATACTGCCAAAATAACAAAGAAAGGAAGCGAGGATGGAATCGAAAATACCGAGAAAAAATAAAAAATAAAAAGGAAGATTTACGAAATGTTCAATCTGATAATGGAGAAACTTCTTTAAATAATTCACATACTAATTTTATAAATAAAGGTAAAATGCCAATTGTTTATGAAGAGGGCATTCGGTCTGAAGAAGGAAATCATTTTAATCAAGATGAGGAAGATTATGATGAAACAGAAAGTTATGTGGATGAGCGAAATCAATCGGTGGTTGAAGAGCCAACCATAATGCCTAAAAATTACATGAATCAGATAGATTTTAATGAAAAATATTATCCTTTTGATTTGAACGAGAAACCTGAGGATAACGATGATGATGTTTTTTAAAAAGGATTATAAGAAAGAATTTTTTTTTAATTTTAAAAGAGCAAATAAAGAATTTTATTAACATTAAAATTTGAAAAATATTTTTCTGTGAAAATTTTGAAGATAAATTTTATTTTATTGAAGATAGTTTAAAAGTGTTATGTAAATGTGTTACTATAGTATAGAAGCCAGTGAAAGCGCCAGTCTATTTGGATCAGGGCTGTGCGCCATGGCGTTTGGCGTTGGCGTTTGGCGTCCATTTTTGGCCGATTTTGGCGTTCTGGCGTTTGGCGTGTTTTTACGATTTTGGCGCGCCAAAACGCCAGAATTTTACACCCCTAATGATGGAAATTTTTTAAATAAATGTGAGGATGGATGATCAAAAAATGAATTTTTTGCCTACAGATTTACTAAATCTTCAAAATTTTCGCCTGCGGCGCTAAAAAAGATAAAACCTGGCTCGTAGCTGGGTATGGTCAGTGCCGGGGACAGGCTCCGAAAAAACTATTTCTTTTAAGTAGTAAATCAGCCCAGCTGATTTACTACATTTTAATTAATTAAAATAAGAAAAAAGGAAACCTATGTTCTTGGCTTAAAAAAGGAAACCTAGTTCTTGGCCTCTAGAATCCCCCCTGCTCCTTTCTTATACCCCTATATCCTTTAAATTTTCTTAATCTTCCCAAGTTACTCCTTAATCACGTTATTCTTTAAACTAAAGCTGGCCGGTATCGGTTCCGATCGGGATCGGGCGGGATTATCCCGATCTTTTAAATCCCAATCCCGATATGTCTTATCCCGAGACACTCATAATCCAGCATAATTCACTCAACTGGTACAATATCTATCTTAATCCTGATGAAATATCATAATTGATTTTCCTCCCGGATTTCCCTCAATTCCTCGAAATTCCATTATATCATCGCCTTATATCCTCAAATGCTTTAATAATCTAAAATCTGTTTTAACTCTCCTCAAGATCCTATTATAAATATTTCCGAACATATATTGCTCCCCCGATCAGGAATTGCCATTATTTTTGCTTTCCGAGCTAATAAAGAATGAATTTTGGCTCCTGAACATCTAAAATTTTTGCCTGCGGCGCTAAAATGCGAAAATTTATATGGTTTTTGGGCCTATATACATTCTGAAAATTTTGGCGTTTTGGCGTTGCGTTTTGGCGTTTTGGCGTCCATTTTTGGCCGATTTTGGCGTTCTGGCGTTTGGCGTGTTTTAAGAATTTGAAAAATTGGCGTTTGGCGTTTGGCGCGCCACGCGAAAATTTTGGCGCACAGCCCTGATTTGGATCATACTAGTTTTATAAAACTAGAGCCCAAATTTCCGGACATCTAAAGTGTAAATTTTTTTGAATTTTGGTGGTCAAAAACTTAATTTTTGAGATCCGTGATCCAACTTTCAAGAGGATGGCGGGCCTGGTTATCAAGAACTCGAAACACAGATTTTTTGTGTTTTCACCAAAACCCTGGTCCGGCTTTTTCCCAACCCGATCCATTCTTGGATTTAATTCAAAACCTGTGGTTAATTTCAACAGCCTCAAAAAGACAAAAATAAGTTCAATTAAAACGGTTTGCGGACACATATCGGAACGGACATATCGGATTTATTTGAGAAAAATAACCTCTAGCGTGTTTCTAAAACATAAATTCTTTTCTTCAAAAGGGACGTAAAGATCCCTAGGTCGTAGATTGCAAAATAACTAGGGCTCCTCATACATTGAAATAGCCCGATATGTCGATCACGATATGTCAGTATACCAAGGGCTTATGGGGCTATATGGGCTTATGGGGCTATATCCGGGGGGCTTATGGGGCTATATCCGGGGGGCTTATGGGGCTATAGCCTCCCCCGAGAAAAAACATGAAATTTTTTCAAATCGGCCATCAAAATTTTGCCTTCGGCGCTGAAAAATAAAACAATAAAACTTGCGTTGAAACCGCCAAAGTAAATGCAAAAATTTCAGCTCACACTCCATTTTAGCCCTCACACTGAAATCGACCCCCTAGCTACGCCCTTGATATATGCCATTAAAACTCCAAAAAATGAAAACAGACCTGCTTTTTCCTTGATATCCAATTAAATATAAACTTTTCTCGTCCCATTTCATACCATTTACAACATTGTTAAATTCATTTGAAGAATTAATTATTTTAATATATTCTCCAGTAGATTCTTCTCCTCCATTATCCTCACAAAGTAAAAGACACCCTGTCTAGAAAAAAAATTTTAAAATTTAAAAAAATTAAAAAAAAAAACCAAAATAGCCCAATGCGCTCCAAGTCCATTACGATTACAAGGCTCAAAATTTCCTCTATCACAATCATAAGGAAATAAAATTGTTGGAATCTAAGATGCTAATTAGTATAAAAATCAGAAAATTTGAGGGTACAACCCATAGTTTGTGACCTAATATAACTTAAAAGACTCATGGCTTTTGAGGACTAATAGTAGTACATTTCGGGTGTAGGTCGAGCTGTCAAAAAGTTAGAACGTGTTTTTTACCAGGTATTCAAAATTATTTTCTTCGGATCGAGTCTTTCTTCGTTAAGACTTTCTCTCACTGAAATTCGAAAAAAATTTAAAATCCGATCTTTCTCAACCCATCCCTAGTTTATGAGTGAAGGTTTTAATTTTTAAAAATATATAAAAGGCAAAACAAACAGGGACCGAATAACCAATGATTTTTCGGTTCAGTTCCGGATATCCGAAGATAACTAAGCCGATCTCTAGCCCCTTTACATAAATAAATACAAAAAATTATTCCCCCAATAAATTCGACCAATTCTAATTTTTAATAATAAATTGAAAAAAATAAAAAAAAACCTTTTTATTTTCCCTTTTTCCAAAATATTCAATTATTGAAGACTTCATTTCACCAAATTCTGCAATCTTTGGGTGTAGACTAGGCCAATATTTTTGTATAAAATTACAAAACCATCCAACAGAAAATATTTCACCTCCGTTTGTTATTCCAAAAGAGCGTCCCAATTCTACCAAATTGTTCAAATTGGGAGATTTTAGGTTGTAAATATTTAAAGCATTAGACAATGATGCAAAACCACACCTGAAAATTAAAAAAAATATTTTTAATGCAAGGAAAATGACTTCTGTGGGGACACCTTCATGCCACGAGAAACATTTTCATAAAAACTCGATAGTTTTAAAAATTTCAAGGTTGTAAAAAACAATCTCAAAAAACAAAAAAAAAACCAAGCAAAATCTTTGAGAAGTTAGGCTGGCGAAAATTTTTCGGGTCGACATTCGAATTGAAGAAAGTTTGGATTGTATCAGCTAAAAAACCCTATCCCAGGTTGAAGCTAAACGGAAGCGAAAACTCTTCGAAAAAAAAATTAAGCATTGCTTAAACAACGAAAATTAATTTTAATACAAGGGACTGGTAATCCTTAAGATCATTGGTCCCTAAAAAATGGGAAAAAAGTGCTATTTTGATAATTTTAAGGTCTGCCAGTAGGTAATCGAGTGTGCTGAGTCCGAATCTGAGCTTAAAATTTGTCTATTTCAAACCCCGGACTCGAATTCGACCAAGTCGAATTCGGGGTAAAAATTCAAAATTAAAATTTTAGGGCTAATCTGACACGCCTACCGAGCAGAGTCGAATGGTATCAAAATTATGATGTTTCGACAACTTTGGATGAAGTTATGATCAATTAAATACACGCATGCTGAGACTTCCGTATACAAATCAGACACCATAACTTCGTCTAATGTTGTCGAAACGTAATAATTTTGATGTCATTCGACTCAGTTCGAAGAGACGAGTCCGATTAAACAAAAAATTTGAAATTTTGAATTTTTACCCCGAATTCGACTTGGTCGAATTCGAGTCCGGGGTTTGAAATAGACAAATTTTAAGCTCAGATTCGGACTCAGCACACTCGATTACTTTTTTTAAGCTCAGATTCGGACTCAGCACACTCGATCAGCACTTTTTTCCCAATTTTTTAGGGACCAATAATCTTAAGGATTACCAAGGGACTTGTTAAATGTTACCAATAAAATGAAAAGGGGAATTTCACTAAAATAGATTATACTGAAACCCCCGGACTATTATACAAAATCAAAAAATTAAAAAAAACCTCTTACGTTGGCCCAACCTGAAGTACCGGCTTAACAATATGATGAGCAAAACAGACAGCTTTAAAATTTGTAGATTGCTTCAATACTCGATCCAAACGAGATTTAAAAAGAGGACCAAAAGTGTTGCAGGCATCCATGAATTTTTTGAAAAAATTTTTTTGAGCCTCTAAAAAATTTTAAAAAAATTTTTAAATAAAAAAATAAAATATTAATCAAGTAAATCAACCTTAATTTAAAAAAAATTTTTTTTAAAGTCATTTATTCACAAAAAAAGCAAAAAATATTTATAAAGCAAATTTTTGTTGTAGTTATTTGAGATACATCTAAATTTTTAATAGTTTAAGTAATTATAAAAACTAAAATCTGGGAGAAGCATAAATATATAGATTGCATTTAAAATTAAAGAATAACGAGAAAAAGCAATTAAAAATTGAAGAGACAAATGTGGAAAAAAAATTCGAAAAAAAATTTTTTTCATTTAGAAGGACCAAAAAAATCCCAAAAAATTTCCAAAAATTTTTTGGAGGAGAACAGAAAAAAAATTTTCTTTTGTAAAAAACCTATTTGAAAGAAACAAAGAAAAACATTTTTTTCATCGACATAGGAAGGAGAAAGAGACCTAAAAAAATTTTTTTTCTAAATCCACATTTGTTTTAAAAATAAAATTGAAGAATGAATAGAGGAAAAAAATGAAAGAATTTATTATTTAAAAATATTAAATATTTTTCGAAAATATTCTAATTTAGATTAAATCAAGAAAGCAGAATGTCATGGAAAAATTTAGAAATTAGAGAAATTTTAAAATAAAAAGTAAAAAATAAAATTGCTTTAAGGTTGTCGGTTCTTGAAAAATCTTGGAATAGTCGGAAATTGAACCTAAGGGCCAAACAAGATTTTAAAAATGTTAAAAAAAAACTTCCTTTATATCAAGTTTCGGCCTGGTTTGAAAAAATTTGTAAGGATATCAGGCCGGACGGGGTTTCGGCTGAAGTGTGATATGTATCACTGTTCGTCGATTCTTGGAAAATATTCGGATATCAGAAATTGAACCAAAAAACCGAAACAATAAATCATCAATTCCTTCGTTCCGTTCCAAACCGACAACCCTACTTGCTTCTCATAAAAATCGAAAAAATAAAAAAAAACTTTTTTTAAACGTTAACCCTCCACATTTGTATTTTTTGTAGGACAAATCACTATAAAATTAAATAAAAATTAATTTAAAAAAATAAAATTAAAAAAAAACCATTCAAAATATAGTCTGTAAGTAAAGAAGGTAATTGATCACTATCATCGCTCATTGCTTGCAAAACTAGAAAACGACAAAAAATTATTTGAAAAATTAAAAAAATATACTTTTGTTTAAAGATTCCAAAACGCGTACATCTGGAACTTCCTGAGAATTATCATATGGAATTTTGACAGAACACAACTTTAAAAAATAGGAAAAAATTTTATTAAAGAAAGTTTGGGGATTTGAAGTAGAGACGGACCTAGAAGAGCTCTCAAACAAAAACCTCAGTTATCAAACTATAATAACGCGAAATTGATCTCAATTTTCGTATGACCCTCACAATCTTCTCATTTCTTGGAATATAAAAAAATCAGTAAAAATGCCAAATACCCAAAAAATTAACAAAATCTTAAAAACAGTTATAAAAATTTTTTAAACAATATTCTTAAATTTCCTAGCTTTTTTAATCCCAAAAATTACCTAACCTATTTTATCCTAAAATGAAAAATGCTCGAAAAAATAAATTTAAAATTCGTTTTTCTAGCCAAATAAACTCTCAACTTAAGCTTAAAAAATTTTAAAATTCAAACAAACATTATTTTTCGATGCAGCAAATTTACTTTCCTTTTGTTTTTGCTTTTTAATACTTCCAGCCTTTCGCCGCTTTTCTTGCACATCAATTAATAAAGTAATAAATTGATTTCTAACTTCTTTAGCATAGTCTAATTCATCACGTCTAGCAAGTTCATTGACCAATTCCTCATTGTATAATTGGATTATTTGCTCAATTTCTGAGACTATTGTGATCAATTTACTTTGACTATAACGTGTCATTTCTTTAAAAAATAGCAAAAAATTGCAAAAAAATTTAAAAAACCTTCAGCGTCAATAGGAGCCAATTCGCTGTTTTTAGGTTGTTGTTTAACACTAAATAGTTGCTCGGCATCTATACAATTGTTTGGAGAACGCATTGAAGAGTACATTGAGTCAAAGGATTCCAATGTCCGAGGAGTGTTGATTAAGGAACGAGTCATCAAATCACCGGCCTAAAATTAATTTTAACGATAGAACTAAATCTGGGCCAGTCTTCCTGTACCCTGAGACAAGAAATTTTTTAGCTTCCCTAGAATTTACTGACATAAGGGCTTCTCTGGGATTTCACAGACTTTCAGAAATACATCCCATAACCCCCGAGGTCAGCAGATTGGAGAATAAGTCCAGACCCCGACTTTACAATTTTAATAACCAAAATTCAAAAGAAAACCTGAATAATATCATCAATCTCTTCAATAACTCTATCAGCATTAACAGGAGGCAAAGCATCAGTTCCAATTGACGCTGCAGCTGCATGAAAGTCAAAACGTTGTGAGTCATTTTTACCATCACTATCGTCATCCTCTCCACTGTCAGTATCAGAAAAACTGTCTGGACCAGTTGGAGTAGTTCCCTCGTGGTTGCGCTGCTAAAAACAAATTTTTGAATAAGCAAAAGAACAAGAAACCTTTGGAACTTTCAAATCTAGCGCTGCCATTTGATTACGACGAATGACTGATTGGTGAAAATCAATAGGAGGAAGACTGCCGTAATTGCCTGTGAGCGTCCACCAGAACCTTAAAATGATTAAAACAGGTAAAAGACAATCCAAAGACAAGTCAAAACTTACTGGCTTTCATTCATAATCTCCTCTTGGGAACGAATTTTGACTGGCGCAATTTGTTCAGTACACTTGTTCATATCCTTCAGAACGCCTGAAACGTTTTTGTCAAAGGATTCAACCAAGTCTTGAAGAGAAGTAGAGATCATAGAGTTGGAAGTAGAAGAGCCAGATTTGTCCATTTCAGCAGCTATTTTCTGTGGGGTTTGTTGATTGCGTGGCCTTTAGAAATGATTTTTTGGGATTAAATGACTCGTAAGGTCGTTCACCTTACGTAAAGACGGGGAATTAGGAGGTTTCTAAAAATTCCAAGTCCACCGTGCTGCCCTACGAAAACATTCCCCGATCCCCTTTCTCTAGGAATTTGGAGGTTTCTAAAAATTCCCCGTTCATCCCCCGTGGTGCTGCTCTACGGAAACTTCCCCGATCCCTCTCCCTAGGAATTAAGATGTTTCTAAAAATTCCCGTTCATACCCCCGTGGCGCTGCTCTACGAAACTCCACAAAACTTTCCCCGATGCCTTCCCTACGGCGGGGACTTAGACTTGACTTAGACTCATCAGAACTCATTAAACTTTTCATTACCTATTTCCAAGAGTTGATTTTGGTAGAACACATCTTTCTAGATTCGAATCATCCAATATTTCAAGATCGTCAAATTGTGCTAGTGGTACATCCGGAACTTCAATATCGCATGCTGAGCGATTAGGCATGTTGATTTTGGAAGAAAATGATTGTGGAATGCGTCTAGTTTACATACATGTTAAAGAACACTAAAAGTAACTTTTAACAAATATTAATCAATCAACACAGTTTAAATGAAACATAAGTTAAATAGAAAGGATAAAGTACAAATACTCTCGTCAATAATAAGCTGTTGAAAAAAAGGCAACAAACTAGCTAATCCGTAGAAGATAAAAAAGAACCGATAATTCTCTGCCGTCTCTCTTCAATTTCTACACTATTTCAATTTTAATAAATTTTGGGACATAATGTCATTTATCTAAACATAATGCCAAAATAAATTTTTTTGAGTAATCGCGACGGTTTAAATTCAAAATCGAAGCAGAATTGGGGTTTTATTTTCTATTTACAGTAAAGGATTTGCATAAAATCGTGATATGTTTAAGTCTCAGATATTTGCTTATTAAATGTGTCAAACCCTAAAAGTACCGATGTGCTGTTAAAACAAGAAAGATATTTTCTAAATTTTATACTGTTTACAACGAAATAGTCTACTCTCTCTGAAAATTTCAACTTCTTCAAATTAATTTCTTTTTTAACAATCGTCCTCATCTTCATCCTCAGGTTTATCGTTCAGATAAATAAGATAGTCTTCCTCATCCGAATCTATCTGATTTATGGAATTAATTTTAGTTGGCTCTTCCACCACTGTTTGATTTTGCTCTTCCATATAAGTTTCTGCTTCGTCTTTATTACATTCTTCCTCCTCTTGATTAAGAAGACATCCTTCTTCAACCTGAATGCCCTCTTCGTAAACGATTGGCAATTTACCTTTATTTCTAAAATCTTCCTGTGTATTAAGGCAAGAAGTTCCTTCATTATTATCAGAATTAATATGCCCTACTTTTGGGTCAGCATTTTTTAAGTTTTCATTTTTATTTTTCATCTTTTCTCGGTATTTTCGAGCAAATTCTTTCCTATTTTCTTTATTATTTTGGTAATAATTTCGGGCAGCTTCTCGCCTCTTTTCTCTATTATTTTGGACATATTTTCGGTCACATTCCCGCTTCTTTTCTCTATTATTTTCTCGGTATTTTCGGTCGTATTCTCGCTTTTTTTCCTTATTTTTTGCTCGATACTTGCGGTCAGCTTCTCGCCTCTTTTCCTTATTATTTTCACTTTTATTAAACTTCTTTTCTTCTTTTTTATCTTTTGTTGTGCCCTTTTTTGCAATTTTAGGTTTTGGTTTTAGCGTTCTTTCATATTTTTGAATTCGAGGATCAACCGATGATTCAGCCCCATCATTAATAGTTAAATCCTTTGAGGTTTCCCCAACTCTACTTAACTCATTTTGTTCTTTATTATTTTTAACAGAATTAATTAAACTCCAAAAAATCGCATTGACGATTAAAATTATTAATATTCTATCAAGTCTCATCCTAAATTAATTTAAAAAATTTATTTAAAATATTAATTAGTTTGAGTAAATAAACAAAAATAATAAATTTTAGAATAATATTAAATTGAACTTAAGTAGGTAAATTAAATACATTGTCTATATTTCACAATAAAATTTATTTTCTCAGTGAAAGGAAAGTGCATTGCGATAAATTTTTTATAGACTATCATTAATAAATATTAGATTGAGAAACATAACACATTGTTATTAGCTATATTGAGAAATTGCTCACTTTACTCGCGGCGGACGGTGGAAGGAGCGGCCGTCGCATAGCTTGAAATGTTCGCTTGAAAACTTTTTCCAGAGAAAACTATAGTGACACCACTACTCAACACTTCCAAACCAACGATCTTTTATAAAATAAAATTTATCTTATCTTCAACATTTTCACAGGAAAAAATTTTTTTAATTCTATAATTAATATAAAAATTCTTAATCTGCTCTTTTTCGATTTCAACATATTTTCTTTCTTCCAGGTTTTTAACAAACATATTATTCGTTATCCTCAGGTTTCTCGTTCAGATCAAAAGGATACTCATTTAAATTTATCTGATTGATGCATTTCTCGGGAATATTATTTGGCTCTTCTACCACATGATGATTTTGATCATCTACATAAGTTTCTGTTCCCTCCTCCTCTCGATTGATAAGATTTATTTCTTCAGACCGAATCCCCTCTTTGTAAACTATTGGCAATTTACCTTTATTTCTAAACTCATCATTCTGTGGATAAGAAGTTCCTTCACCATTATTATCAGAATCAACATTTTTTAATATTTTTGGATCTGATAAGTTTTCTTTTTTATTTTTCCTTTTTTCTCGGTATTTCCGTTCATATTCTCGCTTCTTTTCTAAATTATTCTCTCGATATTTTCGAAGTGATTCTCTTCTCGTTTCTTTATTATTTTCACGGTATTTTCGAGCAGATTCTATCCTCTTTTCTTTAGTATTTTGGTAATACTTTCGGGCACGTTCTTTCATCTTTTCCTCATTGTTTGCTCGATATTTTCGATCAGTTTCTCGTCTCTTTTCCTTATTATTTTGGCGATATCTTCTATCATATTCCTTTTTATTCAACTTTTTTTTTCTTTTTTATCTTTAGTTGGGCCACTTTTTGCAATTTTAGGTTTTGGTTTTAACATTTGAATTTGAGCAGTAACCGATGATTCAGCCTCATCGTTATCCTTTGAGGTTTCCCCAACTCTACTTAACTCATTTTGTTCTTTATTATTTTTAACAGAATTAATTAAACTCCAAAATATCGCATTGACGATTAGAATTATTAATATTCTATCAAGTTCCATCATTAATTAATTTTAAAGATTTATTAAAAATATTAATTAGCTTGAGTATTAAATTTAAAAACAATAAATTTTTGAATGATATTAAATTGAACTTAAGTAGGTAAATGAAAATACATTGTCTATATTTCACAATGAAATATCCGTTTTCTCATTAAAAGTAAAGTGCATTGCGATAAATTTTTTAATAGACTATCATTCATAAATATTAGATTGAGAAATTTAGAAAGTATTTTGAGAAATTGCTTTCTTTACACGCGGCGACCGTTGGAAGGAGCGGCCGTAGTATCGCTTGACATGCCCGGCTTCCTCCGCACCGGCAAAACCTTTTCAATAGAAAAATTCTCAAAGGAATTTTTATACACTTTCTGTTTTGTCGTAGGGTTGAACGAGGTTGCGATAAATAAAAATTTTTTTAAAATTTATCGCAATGTACTCTCCTTTAATTGAGACATGTACTTTATATTTTTTATTATGAAATGTAAAATAATTTTCCCAATGTGTTTTTACATCTATATTGCTTTTCAAATTCAATAAATTAAAATTTATCATTTTTGGTTAATTTGTATTAAATAAAATTTTATTTTAAATAAATTTTTTAAATTAATTTATGATGAAACTTGATAGTATTTTAATAATTTTAATTGTCAACGCGTTTTTTTGGAGTTTAATTAATTCTGTTAAAAATAATAAAAGCCGACACGAGTTAAGTAGAGTTGGGGAAATTTCAAAGTATAAAGATGGGGCTGAATTATCGGCCGCTCCTAAAATTCAAAAAGATGAAACGTTAAAACCAATACCTAAAATTGCAAAAAAGGTCACAACTAATCATAATGAAGAGAAGGGGCAAGATTATTATAGAAATTATTACCAAAATAACAAAGAAAAGATACAAGAAAGAAAGCGAATTTACTACAAGAACAATAAAGAAAAGTTGAAAAAATGCTCCCAAAAATACCGAGAAAATAATAAAGAAAAGAGGCTAGAAAATGACCAAAAATATTACCAAAATAATAGAGAAAAGTTGAAAGAATCTGTCCAAAAATATTGCCAAAAGAATAAAGAAATATTGAAAGAAAATAAACGAGAATACCGAGAAAATAATAAAGAAAAAATTTGAGAATCTAATCGAAAATATCGAGAAAAAATGAAAAATAAAAAAGAAAACATAAAAAATGTTGATCCAAAAGTAGGAAATATTCATTCTGATAATAATGAAGGAACTTCTTTTGTTAATACACAGAGAATCGAGGAAGGAAATCTTTTTAATCAAGATGAGGAAGAAACAGAAACTCATATGGAAGAGCAAAATCAAACTGTGGTGGAAGAGCCAACTAACATTAATTCCATAAATCAGTCAGATTCAGATGAGGAAGATTATCTTATTTATCTGAACGATAAACCTTATAATGAAGATGAGGATTTTTATTAAAAAATTAATTTGGAGAAGTTAAAATTTTCATAGAGTAAATTATAAAGATCGGACAAACAAATATTTAATGACGGGTAATTAAATATTTGATCAAATTTTATGTGATTTTATTTGATCAAATATTTGTTGATGAGCTTTTGAAGAAATTTGATTTTTTCAAATATTAAATAAATATTGTTATGTCCGTGATTTGAATATTTTTAATATTTTCCTTCATTTAAACTTTTTATCTGTTTTGCCCCATTTCTAAATGTATATTTAAATAATTCCCTCATTCCTACCTTTCAAAGTGAAAATTTAATAATTAATTTACAATTAGTCGAAACAAATTGGTTAGGATAAATTTTTACTAAATTTTTCTCCAAATAATGTAAATTTGTAGAACTGACGAGCTGAAGCGAAACTAGCTGATTAAGACAAGTGTGCGAAACTTATTAAGTTTTAAAAGATTAAATATATTTTATTCTGTTTATTAAATTATTATGATTAAACATAAATTTATTTCCAATCGAAGCAAAAACAAAAAAGTTTAATTAATTAATTAAGTTAATTAATTAATTCTGTTAAAATTAACAAAGATAATAATGAGTTAAATAGAATTGTGGAAACCTCAAAGGATAAAATGGAACTGGATCACCGGTTAATGCTCAAATTCAAAAGGATGGAGTAACAAAGACGAAGAAGAAACTTATGTGGAAAAGCTTATGTGGACTTTTCTGTTCTTCTTAAACACTTTCCTATTAAATATTTTTAACACTTTTTAATCCTTAACTTAAAAAGTTAATTAAATGTATTTTTGATTGAAAGAAAATAAATTTCTATATTTGTTTTAAAAAAGTATTTTTAATTAGTTTGGCATTTTAACTTAGCGTTACGAGCCAGACGCTAAAAGAATTTCACTTTCCTGTTATCTCCTAAGTTGCCGCGGGGAATGCGACATCGATGTCCTCTCTCAGTGAGGATTTAACTAGACCATGCCGTACTTCAATATTTCAAATCCCATAATCTACATCTTATCAGAATTCTATTTTCGATAGGATATATTCTTAATCCTTCAAATAAAGAACATGATCTTACCCCTCCGTTGCGCATAGTATAGGTTCATTCTCATTGTTTCTATAAAACTGATTCAAAGAAATTGTACAATTTAATTTCTTTTAGAACCTGCTTTTATGCACAGCAGGAAAAAGTTTTGAATTTTCATAAGGCCAGAAGGCAGAAATTATCTTTTTATGAAAAAATTGAAAAAAATGGGAAAAGCGCAGGTTGGACTAAATCCCAAATTCGGTGTTTTTGCCGGAATTTTTTATTATGTTACGAAACGAAATGGAAAAAAGGGCATGAAATAGCAGGCGGTACGAAATTTCGATCATCCCTTGTTTAAACCTTTCGCAATGTACTCTCCTTTAATTGAGACTTGTACTTTATATTTTTTATTATGAAATGCAAAATAATTTTCCCAATGTGTTTTTTCATCTATATTGCTTATTTAAATTCATTAAATTAAAATTTATTATTTTTGGTTAATTTTTATTAAATAAAATAATTTATTTTAAATAAATTTTTTAAATTAAATTTAAGATGAAACTTGATAGTATTCTAATGATTTTAACATTCAACGCGATATTTTGGAGTTTAATTAATTCTGTTAAAAATAATAAAGAGAAAAATGAGTTAACTAGAGTTGGGGAAACCTCGAAGGATTTAACTATTAACGATGGGGCTGAAAAGGGTAATAGAAGTGAATATATGAAAATTTACTATCAAAATAATAAAGAAAAGTTGAAAGAAAATATCCGAAAATACCGAGAAAATAATATAGAAAAAAAGCGAGAATGGGACCGAAATTATTACCAAAATAATAAAGAAAGAATAAGAGAAGCAGATAGAAATTATTACCAAAACAATAAAGAAAAGTTGAAAGAAGATAAACGAAAATACCGTGAAAAAATGAAAAATAAAAAAGAAAACTTAAAAAATGTTGATCCAAAAGTAGGGCATATTCATACTGAGAATAATGAAGGAACTTCTTTTGTTAATACACAGGAAGATTTTAGAAATAAAGGTAAATTGCCTATCGTTTACGAAGAGAGCATACAATTTGAAGAAAATGTTTTTAATCAAGAGGAGGAAGAAAGTAACAAAGACGAAGAAGAAACTTATGTGGAAATGCAAAATCAAACTGTGGTAGAAGAGCCAAATAAAATTCCCGAGAATCGCACGAATCAAATAAATTTAAATGAGCATCCTTTTGATTTGAATGAGAAACCTGAGGATAACGATGATGATGTTTGCTAGAAAAAAGATTAGAAGAAAGAAAATTTTTAAAAATTTTTCAAAGAACAAATAAGCAATTTTATTAATTTTAAAATTCAAAAAATATTTTTCTGTGTATGTTTTAATTAAATACTGTGTTTAAACGGGAGTACGATTTAACAAACATCCTCATCATCGCCGCAGTGAGGACGCTGTTAAGGATGGCTGTTAAGTTTTGGCCCATTTCTCAATGTATATTTAAATAATTCCCTCATTCCTACTTTTTAAAAAAAATTAAATAATTAATTTATAATTTGTCGAAACAAATTGGTTAGGATAAATGTTTACTAAATTTCTCTGCTAAGAATGTAAATTTGAAGAACTGACTAGCTGAAGCGAAACTATTAGATTTATGGAGACAAGTGTAGAAAACTTATTGAAATTAGGATTGGAAACATAAAACAAATTTTATTCAGTTTATTATATTATTGTGATTAAACATAAATTTATTTCCAATCGAAGCAAAAACACAAAAGTGAAAAGATTAAAGTGAATGAATTATGAATAACATAAAAACTCTATGAAAATTTTAACTTTTTCAAACCAATTTTTTTTTAACAAACCTCCTCATCTTCATCATCAGGTGTATCTTTCAGATAAATAAGATAGTCTTCCTCATCTGAATCTGTCTGATTTATGTAACAATTTTAGTTGGCTCTTCCACCACAGTCTAATTTTGTTCTTCCATATGAGTTTCTGTTTCTTCCCCTTCTCGATTTAAAAGACTTCCTTCTTCAAATTGAATGCTCTCTTCGTAAACGCTAGGCAATTTACCTTTATTTCTAAAATCTGCATTCTGTGTATTAACAAAAGAAGTTCCTTCATTATTCTCAGTATGAATATGCCCTACTTTTGGATCAACATTTTTTAAGTTTTCTTTTTTATTTTTCATTTTCTCTCGATATTTTCGATTAGATTCTTTCCTCTTTTCTCTATAATTTTCTCGGTATTTTCTGGCATATTCTTTCAAATTTTCTCTATTATTTTGGTAATAAGCTCGCTTACTTTCTCGTATCTTTTCTTTGTTATTTTGTTGGTAAATTCGATGTGATTCTTTCTTTTTTTCTTTATTATTTTCTAGGTATTTTCGGTTATTTTCGTCAATCTTTTCTTTATTTTTTTGACGGTAAATTTTCATATATTCGCTTCTATTCAACCTTTTTTCTTCTTTTTTATCATTTGTTGTGCCCTTTTTTGCAATTTTAGGTTTTGGTTTTAACATTTGAATTTGAGGATCAACCGATGATTCAGCCCCATCATTATCCTTTGATGTTTCCCCAACTCTAGTTAACTCATTTTTATTCTTATTATTTTTGACAGAATTAATTAAACTCCAAAATATCGCGTTGAATGTTAAAATTATTATAATACTATCAAGTTTCATCTTAAATTAATCTTTAAAATTTATTTTGTTTACTACTAATTAACCAAAAATAATAAATTTTTATTTATTGAATTTAAATAAGCAATATAGATGAAAAAACACATTGGGAAAATTATTTTAAATTTCATAATAAAAAATAAAAAGACATGTCTCAATTAAAGGAAAGTGCATTGCGATAAGGTTTAAACAAGTGATGATGTAAATTAAAATAGTGTAAATTATATTTATATTATGTAATAACAAGCAATATATTTCCCATTGAAATGAAAGTGCAGTCTAATAAATTCTTAAGAAATTTGAAAGGCCCAAAGCGGAACCCATACAAACTCGAGCGAAGGTAGAAATTAAAGAGTGGGGGAGAGGGAGGGGGGGGGGGGGATCTTCAAATTTATTTCTTTTTAACAAATATCCTCATCTATATCCTCAGGTTTCTCGTTCAGATCAAACGGATAATATTTCTCATTCAAATCTATCTGATGCATGCAATTTTCGAGATTTTTATTTGGTTCTTCTACCTCTGTTTGATTTTGCTCATTCATATATGTTTCTGCTTCTTCCACCTCTTGATTGATAAGATTCCCTTCTTCAGACTGAATCCCCTCTTCGTAAACTATTGGCAATTTACCTTTATTTCTAAAATTATCATATTGTGGATTAGAAGTTCCTTCACCATTATTATCAGAATCAACATTTCTTAATATTTTTGGATCTGTTAAGTTTTCTTTTTTATTTTTCCTTTTTTCTCGGTATTTTCGTTGATATTCCTGGTACTTTTCTAAATTATTTTCTCGATATTTTTGACTGCATTCTCGCCTCTTGTTTTTATTATTTCGAAGGTATTCTCGCCTCTTTTCTTTATTATTTTTGTAATAATTTCGGGCTGATTCTCGTCTTTTTTCCCTATTTTTTTCTCGATATTTTCGTTCAGCTTCTTTCTTTTTTTCTATATTATTTTGACGGTATCTTCGATAATATTCACTTTTATTCAACTTTTTTCCTTCTTGGTTATTTTTTGTTGTGCCCTTTTTGGTAATTTTAGGTTTTGGTTTTAACATTTGAATTTGAGCATTAACCGATGATTCAGCTCCATCGTTATCCTTTGAGGTTTCCCCAACTCTAGTTAACTCGGGTCGATCCTTATTATTTTTAACAGAATTAATTAAACTCCAAAATATCGCATTGGCGATTAAAATTATTAATATTCTATCAAGTCTCATTATAAATTAATTTAAATAATTAGTTAAATCAAGAGTATTAAATTTGAATATTAATATTGAACTTAAATAAAAGTATAAATGAACTTTTATTTAAAATATTTTTTATTTAATTTCTTAATGCAATATCCGTTTTCTCATTAAAAGAAAAGTGCATTATGATGAATTTTTGAATAGAGATGAAAAATAGATGAAAAAACACATTGGGGAAATTATTTTACATTTCATAATAAAAAATAAAGTACATGTCTCAATTAAAAGAAAGAGCATTGCGATAAATTCTAAAAAAATTGAATGTTTAAACTTTCCCAAGTGGACTGCTCGAAATTCTATAATAGACATCTTCATCTTCGCCCTCAGGTTTCTTGTTCAGATCAAAAGGATAATATTTCTCATTTAAATCTATCTGATTCATGTTTGCCTCTTCAACCACAGATTGATTCTGCTCATCCAAATTGGTTTCTGTTACGCCACATTCCTCCTCCTCTTGGTTAAAAAGATTCCCTTTTTCATGCTGAATGCTCTCCTCGTAAACGATTGGCAATTTACCTTTATCTCTAAAATCATTCCGAACGAAAGAAGTTCCTTCATTATTATCAGAATGAATATCTCTTACTTTTGAATCAACCTTTTTTAAGTTTTCTTTTTTATTTTATATTTTTTCTCGGTATTTTCGGACAGATTCCCGCTTCTTTTCTTTATTATTCTGGTAATAATTTTTGCTAGATTCTTTCTTCCTTTCCCTATTATTTTGGACATATTTTCGATCATATTCTCTCTTCTTTTCTTTATTATTTTCTTGGTATTCTCGTATTCTTTCTTTATTGTTTTGATAGTAAATTTTCATATATTCACTTCTATTACCCTTTTCTTTATTATCTTTTTTTGTGCCCTTTTTTGTAATTTTAGGTGTTGGTTTTAACATTTGAATTTGAGCATTAACCGATGATTCAGCCCCATTGTTATCCTTTGAGTTTTTCCCAATTCTAGCTAACTCATTTTTTTCTTTATTATTCTTAACAGAATTAATTAAACTCCAAAATATCGCGTTGAATGTTAGAATTATTAGAATACTATCAAGTTTCATCGTTAATTAATTTTATATTATTAAAATTTTATATTAAAATTAACCAAGAATGATAAATTTTAATTGATTGAATTTAATTAAGCAATAAAGATGTTAAAAATACATTGGGAAAATTATTTTACATTTCATAATAAAAATACAAAGTACATGTCTCACTTAAAGGAAAGTGCATTGCGATAAATTAAAGAAAAATTTTAGGTCTAAACTGCCAAGTAGACTGTGCCAAAACGCCTGAAACGTTTATGTCTAATGATTCTAAGTATGTCTTGAGAAAGCCATCTTGAGAAAGCTATGAAGTAGAAAACAAAGAATTTTAAGTGATTTTACAAGTTTTACAAGTCGATTCTATTTTTTAAAACATTGAAAATTGACATAAAACATCAACAGAAATAAATTTCTTTAAAATAAAATTAGTCAGCAATTAACAAATATTTAAGTCACACATATACCTACATAGCTCAAACAAGTAAATGAAACGGCGGCCGCAGACAACACATCCTCGGTCGGTGGTAGAAAAATATGTAGCTTATCTTGTGTAGATCCTCATGATTGATTGAAGAGATATCGGAGGATTAATGGGATTAAGAGGGATATCAGAAAATTAATTGGCATGTTAAGTAATATCAGAGAAATAAGAGGACTTGGAAGGATTATGGGAGAAGCATTAATTATTATTAATAAATATTTGATTTTTTAAATTAATTTAAATATTTTTCTATAAATTACGAATTACGGCATTTTTTAAATTACGAATTACGATTATGAAAAATTTTTTAAATTACGAATTACGATTAAAAAAATTTTCAATTACGACGCAACTCTGATGCTATCCACAGCCGAATCATTACGGCAGATTTTTAGACAACGCACTTAGGGCATAACAGAAAATAGGAATGCTCGAAATTTTATACAATGTTGACTAAAGTTTTACAATTCTTTAATTTTAACATTATTTCTTTCTTCAAATTTATTTCTTTTTAACAAACGTCCTCATCGTTATCCTCAGGTTTCTTGTTCAGATCAAACGGATAATATTTCTCATTTAAATCTATCTGATTCATGTTTGCCTCTTCAACCACCGATTGATTTTGCTCATCCACATTAGTTTCTGTTTCTTCACATTCTTCATCCTCTTCGCTAAAAAGATTTCCTTCTTCATGCTGAATGACCTCTTCATAAACGATTGGCAATTTACCTTTATTTCTAACATCATCGTTGTGTGTATTAGCAAAAGAAGTTCCTTCACCATTATTGTCAGAATGAACATTTCTTGGATCTTGTAAATTTGCTTTTTTATTTTTCTTTTTTTCTCGGTATTTTCGATCAGATTCTCGCTTCTTTTCTCTATTATTTTCTCGATAATTTCTATGATATTCTTTCTTCTTTTCTTTATTACCTGCAATTAGACGGTATTTTCGTTCATATTCTTTACTGTTTTCTTTATTGTTTTGGTAATAATTTCGGCCATATTCTCGAATCTTTTCTTTATTATTTTCTCGGTATTTTTGGCAATATTCTTGCTTTTTTTCTTTGTTATTTTTGTAATAATTTCGGTCAACTTCTTTTCTTTTTTCCTTATTATTTTCCCGGTATTTTCGATCAGATTCTTTTAATTTTTCTTTATTGTTTTGACGGTAAATTTTCATATATTCACTTTTATTAAACTTTTTTTCTTCTTGATTATCTTTTGTTGTGCCCTTTGTAATTTTAGGTTTTGGTTTTAACATTTTTTCATTGTTTTGAATCTGAGGATTAACCGATGATTCGGCTCCATCGTTATCCTTTGAGGTTTCCCCAATTCTACTTAACTCATTTTTCTCTTTATTATTTTTAACAGAATTAATTAAAATCCAAAATATCGCATTGAAGATTAAAATTATTAGAATACTATCAAGTTTCCTCATTAATTAATTTTAAAAATTAATTTAAAATAAAATTTTATATCATTAAAATTAACCAAGAATGATATATTTTAATTTGATTTAATTTAATTAAGCAATATAGGTGAAAGTACATTGGGAAAATTATTTTACATTTCATAATAAAAATATAAAGTACATTTCTCTTTTGAAAGAAAGTGCATTGCGATAAATTAAAAAATTTTTTAAGGGTTTAAACTAGTGTACGTCGAGTACCGAGTAATTAGGAAAAGACCGAGTTCGAGTAATGCCGAGTCCGAGTTCGAATACGAGTTCAACTTTGTTGTGTAGTGGCGACACTACTATAAAAGCTACTGTAAGCGTCAATCTAATTGGATTATACTAGCCCGGCTAGACCCTGATCTCCTTCGTCTGTTCCAACTCTATCCGTTCGCCTACACATTGTTATTTCTCTTTAGATAAACTGTTAATCATTGCACGTCGACTTTCGTACAACCCTCGGACATAACAAACTTTTTAGTCCGAGTACGAGTAAATCGAGTAATTTTTATAAAACAGTATTCTAAAATAATTT